GGCCTCGCGAGCCGCTCCCGCGCCCGCCGAGGACCCGGCCGCGTCTCCTGAGGGCGGGAGAGCGTCCCGGCGCAGCCTGGGAGTGCGGGTCAGGGCAGGTCGAGGTGCCTATTTACATATCTATTTGGACAAGATTAATGGCAGCTCTGCGCTTTCCTTTGTCACTGAGCTTGGCCGATTCCCACAAAGCTTCGCCCCGGCGCGCGGCCCTCCCGCGCTGTGACACCGCGCCGACGCCTCCGTCGCGTCGCGCCCGACGTCGGCCGCGGGACCGACGGCGACCGACTCGCCCGCCCACGCCGCCCGTGCACCGCGCGCGGACGGGCGGCCTCCCGCAAGCGAGGCTGCGGCGCGCAGCTTATCTGCATTTTCCAATTAATCACTGCGTCAGGCATTAAAGACGATTCCCGAGGGCGTCGAGGGGCGCCGGCGCCTGACTTGGGCCCTTATGGCCGGGCGCCGCAAGGGCGGAGATGGCGCGGCCCGCGGGAGGCTGGCGGGATTTGATAATTACCTCCTCGGATTGTGACGCGGAGCCCGGCGCTGATGATGGAGCTTTTGTGGGGATGATAATGTGAGCGGTTAATATGGCGCCACCCCCCCCCCCTCTCCCCTACTCCCCTTCCCACTCCTCTCCCCCCCTAACCTCCCCTCCCTCCCCTCCACCCCCCCCCCCTCCTCTGTGAAAGACCTTTTCTGGTTCGTGTACCATCGGCCTGCCCTCCTCCTCAAGTCCCGAGGAAATTGATAGTTCATGAATAACTAAATTATAATACCAAAAGCACTGGCGATGAGGAAGATTATTATGGCGACCGATGGCCACTCGAGAGGAGAAGGAAAATCAAATAACGAGGATTACTCTTATCATTTATTCATTTATTTCATCTTTACGTTTTTCTCTTTCTTAATGTCCTCCTTATTTATCACCTGTCACCTGAGCTGTTATCGGAATGAGAGTATATTTTGTAATAGTCTTAAGTCTTCAGATTTTTACGGGGTGTTAAGCTGTTTTTAGCGGAAGGAATTCGTAATATATGTGAAGAAATGCAACGACACTTTATTCGTTATATCATATTGCATATGTTAGTTTAATGTTGTTTATGAATTTTAATCACGACACACACACACACCACACACACACACACACACACAACACACACACACACACACACACACACACACACACAACACACACACACACACACACACACACACATACACACACACACACACACACACCACACACACACACACACACACACACACACACACACACAGATGATATACAAATAGATAAATGAAAAATGAAAAGTGAAATGATAAATAAATTAATGAAAGAATTAGACCTCATTTGTGTATGGTGTTTTTTCGAAAACTGAATGCAGATTATACGTAGATATTTCGTATACGTGAAAAGATCTGTTATGAAGCCTATAACTTTAAATTGTAAAATAATTATAATTAAAGTTCATCTAGTGGTATGCCTGTTTCATAGCTTAAGTTCTTTTTTTTAAGATTTTGTTTTCGAAATGAAAAAAATAGTTTTGCGGACTACGAAAACGATGATAATGATAATGCTATCGGTAGATATTATAATAGTATTGATAAGAATGAGAAAGATTTTTTTTTTTTTTTTTTTTTTTTTGCATCAGTTGCAGCATTTGTTATTATTATGTTTAATTGATATTTTATCATCATAATCATCAGTTTATCATTTATCAATGGTTATCATTGTTTTACCATCTAGATTGTCTTTGTTAATTCTGTTGTTGTTCATTTTGTTTTATCGTTTAACAAGCATCATCGCCATAATGAAAAATCATAGTATGTAAAAGAAGAAAACAAGTAAAACCAAAAGATTGTATGAACCTCTTCTTCACCCACCACCCCCTCCCCAGTCACTTCCCCCCACCTCCTCCAGCCCCTCCCCCTCCTCTCCCCACCCCCTCCCCATCCTTCCCTCGCCACCTCCCCCTCCCACCCCACTCCCACCTCCACCTCCACCTCCACCTCCCCTCCCCTCCCCTCCCACCCCACTCCCACCCCACCTCCCCCCCCCCACCCACACCTACCTCTACCTCCACCTCCACCTCCCCACCCACTCCCCACCCCACCATCTCCTCCCAACCCAAGCTGGAGTGTTATCACTTAGAATGTTAGTGTAGATTTACCGTATCAGTCCCGGTAATGTTAGCTGGGCGTGGGTGGGCGTAGGGTGGGCGGCCCGGCGCGTCTAAGCTCTCCTCCCTCTTTCGGTGCCCTGTCCCGCCCACGCCCCGCCCACCGCCACCCACCGAACAAGGGACTTAAATAGAATTGATTTGCTGTGTGCACATATTTTTTTTTCCTTGTTGCTTAGAATTGTTATTCCTTTTTGGTTTTGTTTTTGTTTTTCTTGTTTTCTGGACTCTTTGCATTCGTGGTGTCCGCATTCCTAACACTATTAGTAACAATAGACAGAGTTATATAACGCAACCAGTGTTTAAACTTTAGTATTTGAGTTTTTGTATATGTGTATATATATATATATATATATATATATATATATATATATATATATATAATATATATATGTGTGTGTGTGTGTGTGTGTTGTGTGTGTGTGTGTGTGTGTGTGTGTGTATGTATGCATATATACATATATTATTGTGTTGTGTGTGTTTGCTGACAAATTCACCAGCTAAGCCTACTTATTGCTAGCCAATTAAGCAGATGTCTGACCCTGCACATTGCCAAACACCTGAGCATTTCCGGCGTCGCGCCCGCAGGTCGCGGAGGCTCTCCCCCGGGGTCGCAGGAGGCGCTGCTGGAGGCGACGCGACTCACCATGTGGAAGCTGTACAACCAGGGCCTCGGCGGAGGATTCCAGCACGAGGAGGACGGGCCCAAGCTGCCCCCGCCCCCCCACCCCCTGGCGGGCATCCCCTTCCCGCCGCAGAAGGAGGCGCTCAACCTCGACGTCAAGGAAGACGTAAGTACTCGCCGGGGATGACCTTCGGCTGCGGATCCGGTTGGGCGAGTGGCCATGCGGCTGCGGCTGCGGCGCCCTTGACACTGATCCTGGCGGCGAACGGGGACGCGGGAGGGGGGTGGAAGGGGTGGAGGGGGGGGGCTTCAGTTGGCTGTGCTGACTTCCAGAGAAGTTTTCCTCCCTCGCCACTTTCCCTCTTACTCTCGCCGGGTTTACCGTTGGGAGAGAGGGAGAGTGACAGACTTGGTAGTTAGACAGGCGGAGGTGTTTTGTGTGGGCGTGGGCGTGTGCGGGTGGGTGCCTGTGTGTGTGTGGGTGGTATGTGTGTGTGTGCGTGTGTGCGTGTGTGCGTGTTGCGCGCTGTAGTTGCGTGTGAGCATCTGGCCTTACTATTTCCGTAGTCTGTCTTCCCCCCCCCCCATCCCCTACCAATCTCTCCACCCTCTCCTCTCCATTACCCTCCCCCCCCATTCTCTTCTCCCTTACCCTCTCCCCCTCTCCCCTCCCCCTCCCTCCTCTACCCCTCTCCCCTCTCTCCCTTCCCCCTCTCCCCTCTCTCCCTCCTCCTCTACCCCCCTCCCCCCTCTCCCCTCTCCCTTCCTCCTTTACCCCCCACCCCCCTCCACTTCCCACGCCCATGCCCACCGAAGACGAGGCGTTGCAAGGTCGATCGTAAGGTCAGGGGTCGTGACCTCGGCTGAGTTTCATTCATTATTGTCGTGGTTCTCATTGAGGGGGGAGGGAGGGGAGAGGGGGGCGGAGGAGTTGCAAAATGGTAGGGGGAGGGAGAGAGGGATGGGGAGTTGCAAAAGGTATGGGGAGGGGAGGAAAGGGAGGGAACGGGGGGTTGCAAAGGGGAGGGGGGAGGGAAGAGGGAGGGGGAGGGGAAAAGGAGGGAGGGGGTTGCAAAAGGGCAAGGGGGGAGGAGGAGAGAAGGGAATGGGAGGAGAGGAGGGGAGTAGGATGTGATGAGTTACAAGAAAAAGTGGGGAGGGGGCAGAAGGGGGGTTGCAAGAGAGTGGGGAGGAGGGTAAGGGGTGGGTAGGAAGGTGAGGGGAGGGAAGACCTGTAAGAGAATAGGGACGGGGGAGAAAGTGAGGGGTGAGAAATAGGATGAGGGGAGGGGACGGGAAGGGGAGAGAAAATAGAAGAAGGGGTGGAGGATCTACAAAAGATGGGGATGAGGGAAGGGGGAAGGGATGGGAAGAGCCGTACAAGAATGAGAGGGGAAGTGGAGAGGGAGAGGAGATACACAAGAATGGGGGAGAGGGGAAGCAATAACGATCCCAGGAAGGAGAGGGGAGAGGAAGGGGGTAGGAGAGAGTGAGGGAAGGGGGAAGAGGGGTTGGATGAGGAGTACCGTAAGGTTTTCTTCTTCGTCTTCCTCTTTTTCTTCTTTTCTTATCCTCTTCTTCCTTCTCATCTTTCTCCTTTTTCCTTCCTCTCCTTCCTACTCCTCCTTCTTCTTCTTCTTCTTCTTTTCCTCCTCCTCCTTTCCCCCCTTCCTCCTCCTTCCTCCTCTCCTCCTCCTCCTTCCCCTTCCCCCTCCTTCTTCCCCCTTCCTTCCTCTTTCTTCCTCCTTCCCCCCTTCCCCCTTCCCCCTTCCTCCTTTCCCCTTCCCCTCTTCCCCCTCTTCCTCCTCCCCCCCCCCCCTTCCTCCTCCCCCCCCCTCTTCCTCCTCCTCCCCCCCTCTTCTCCTCCTCCTCCCCCCTTCCTCCCCTCCCCCCTTCCTCCTCCTCCTCCCCTCTTCCTCCCCCTTCCTCCCTCCACCTTCTTCCCTTCCTCCCTTCCTCTTTCCCCCCTTCCTCCTCCTCCTCCTCCTCCTCCTCCTCCTATATGTAACCAGTTTTCGCTCGGCAGAGAAAGTCATTGGTCTTGCAGTCAGAGGAATAACTCGTGGTGTTGCAGTGTTGCAAGGACCAAGCTCAGGGTTAAGAGGCAGGAGGTGTTGGTGGTGGTGTTGACGCCTTGATCTCGGTGGTGATTGTGTGTTGATGATGATGATGGTGGTGATGATAGTGTGAAAGTGATGGTTTTAAAGGCGGTGGTGTTGATGGTGAAGGTGGCGGTAGCAGTGTTTTTTTTATGACGGTGGTGTTGTTCTTGTCGTTGATGGTGATGATTATGATGTTGGTAATGGTGATTGTGATGATAAAGATGGTGATGATTGTGATAATGATGATGGTGATGATTGATGATGATTGTGATGATGATTATGATATTGTGATAATGATGATTAATGGTGATGATTGTGATGATGGTGATGATTGTGGTGATGAAGATTTTTAGTTAGTATTAGCGTTGTTGGCGCCGAAGAAAATTCTTGCTCTTTTCGTTTTCTTGATGTTATTGTTGTTCTTTTTCTTGAAGCTGTTGATCTTGTTCTTCTGGTTTATTCCCTGTTATAGATGTAATTACGTGTTGGGTATTATGTGTTTTTGTTTTTGTTTGTTTGTT